GGGGACCTGGCTATGAGGCACTACTTAAATCAAGTGCTTTTAGCAGTTGGTGATGTACCAAGCCTCGATAAAAACGACGGTTGTTGTATCCGCGATACAATATCGCAATGATAAGAGTGACTAATAATGCAACGATCAGAGAAAGATCTGACCTCTTTGCAAGGAAAATCGAGGTATCATTAATGACAGCCATTCTGATCAAGTTTGGGAGAGAGCAGTAGTTTGGACGAGATGGAGTGACAACAGCTCGAGAGTTACGATACGCCATCCTTCTTTACTTATACATGGATCCCAGAGGCTTGGTTAAGATCGAGTTACACGATGTTTAATGCATTCGGGTTCCGATGCCCGTCAGCCTTAGTGGATTAAATTAATTTGGAAATGGCTTTAAGATAAAGGGACAATGTGTGACTTTAGAGCTGCTTCATGGTGCTGATGCGACGGTCAAGTCCGTAATTGAAGATTTCGGGTTGCTGAAACTGTACAAAATCTCAATCATGATCCATTTATTTACAAACATAAGAGATCATTATCAGGACAGTGATCTATTCCGATACAATATATTCCGTTTCCTGTCTCACGTCCTTCGGCATAATCCTCTTACACTTAATTGGTGTAGCCTCAGCATCTCATCTCCACAGCACTGACCCCTGCATCCATCCATGACATCGTTCCTCTGCCTCAGCCTCAGATTTCCCGCCAAGCTTTCACCTTCACTTCCCCAAGACGCCCAAAATGTCTGGAAATCCATGGTCAATCCCTCTCCAAACAACAAACTTCAACATAGTCGTCGCCTTTCTCGGCGGCTTCATATCAATCTTTGGTCTTGTATCTTATCTCCTCAAAGAAAACTACTATCTCTCCGAAGCCCGTATGTCACAAACCCTTGCATAAATATCTCTTGGCATTTCTAAAACGCACTTCCTTCTACAGTTATCTCTCTCTTGGCAGGCGTTTCATTCGGTCCTCATGGCGCAAACTTTATTCGTCCAAAGGACTACGCTGAATGCGATGAGTTTCCAGAGTCTTGCGATTTTGACCTCAATGCTATAACGCTTAACTTTAGCCGTCTTGTTCTCGGCGTGCAGCTTGTCCTTGCAGGTGTGCAGTTGCCGAGTAAATATCTTGTGAGAGAATGGAAGTCGCTTAGTTTGTTGCTTGGGCCTGGTATGACTTGTATGTGGCTTGCTACGAGTCTGCTTGTATGGGCACTTGCAGGACAGCCGCCGTTTCTACATGCCCTTGCTATTGGAGCCTGTGTTACCCCTACAGATCCTGTGCTCAGTGCAGTTATTGTCAAGGGCAAGTTTGCGGATCATAATATTCCGCAGGATCTTCAGTATCTCATCACTGCCGAGTCTGGTGCCAATGATGGCCTTGGCTATCCGTTCCTCTTTTTGGCGCTCTATCTCATCAAGTTCACAGGTGCTGGAGCTACATCTGGCGGAGCGGCCGATGCCATGGGTTTGTGGTTCGGTATGACCTGGGGTTATACTATCCTTCTTAGCGTTATATACGGCGCTGTGGTGGGATGGATTGGTAAAGAACTGCTTCACTTTGCTGAGAAGCACAATTACGTTGACCGTGAAAGCTTTCTTGTCTTCGCCATCGCCCTCGCACTCTTCGTCCTGGGAACATGCGGCATGGTCGGTACGGACGACGTTTTGGCATGCTTCATCGCCGGCAACACATTCACATGGGACGATTGGTTCCGTCTCGAAACAAAAGACGACTCCCTTCAACCCACAATCGACATGCTCCTGAACGTCACCATTTTTCTCTGGTACGGAGCCTACATCCCCTGGAGAGATTTCCGCGATAACTCCGTTATTCCACTTTGGCATCTTGTCATTCTGGGAATTTGTGTTCTTGCGCTGAGGCGATTGCCGTGGGTTTTTTGTATGCATAAGTGGATTCATCAGATCGAGGAGGTCAAGCAGGCTGTTTTTGTCGGCTTCTTTGGACCGATTGGTGTTTCGGCAGTATTTTATCTGTTCATCAGTCTGGAGTTCATCGAGGAGCATCTTAATGATGAGAATGGGCGGCCGAGGAGCGATGTCAAGAATCTCGGAGACCAGACGCGTATTATCGTCTGGTTCCTTACAGTTTGCAGTATTGTAAGTGACCCCTTATCCATCAATTGTTCTTTATGCTGATAGAATATAGGTCGTTCATGGCTTGAGTATCCCAGTCGGAAAACTGGGCTTCCATGCACCACGGACATTGAGTCGTGTTGTCAGTGAAAGTCTAAGCGATGCTCCAGCAGGTGGGCGTCGACGAAACATCCCCTTCATCGGGAGATATTTCTCTGGGCCCGATAAAAAAGATGCTCGTCCTGCAACTGGTCCAATTATCATCACTGGTGGTCAAAGAATGCGCTCGGAGCTACCGGTTCACGCTGGGGATGAGACACCCCCGATTAGACGAGAGATACAGTTCGCTGATGAGGTGAGATAAGAGTCGCATATGAGTTCACTATATCTGGTATATAGATTCACATCGGCAGACGGCGTTATATAATAAGACATATCTCATTAAGCCTTTCCCTCTAAATAAGAAAACCAGGCGTATCACATAAACAGCGACAATCCTTCATCATTTCGGTAACCTCCTCACGAGATAACGTCCCATCATATCTAAGCCAGGAGCATGGCAGCGCCAACAACAGCACCGACGACTCCATAAGGTGCCATAGCAGCAGCAGCGTTGGTCTCGTCGGGGTTAGAAGCATCGTTGGTAGCAGAAGCATCATTGTTGTCGTCGTTGCTTCCACTACCTCCACTGCCACCGCTGCCACCAGTAGCAGAAGGCTCATTGGAGTTCTGAGTTCTGGTACCGCCAACGATGGTGGTGGTCAACTGAGAAGCATCTGTAGGTCGAGTCGCATCGACGGAGACGCCAGAGACAGCAGCTGAGGCGGCGGATGCGACATAGGTGGTAGATGAGAAGCCACAAGTGTACATAAGGTCATCGATATCTACCACAATTAGCACAGCTCACATAATTCATCAAGGAAACTTACTCTCAGTGTCATCACGGATATCATCATCATCGTCGTCGTCGCCATCACGGTTGCGTTGAGCATTCTGGTGAATGCAATCGGCACAGAGAGCAGCGACACGACTGACGTTAAAAGAGTCGTTGGTGCAGACACACTGGGCCTCAAGACGGTCTTCTTCACGGTCACGATCGCCGCGGAGATCAGTGTCGCATGTCTTGGTGAGCTGAACGATGGGATCACAGACGGTGTCGCATTCTCGTGGGATGTCGTCCCGGTCGAGACTAACGTCTGCGCGGGCGAGGTAGAGAAGAGGAGCAATAGCAAGGGCGATGGTTGAGGTGTACATTTTGAGTGATTGATTGTAGGAGAATAAACTCTGTTGGTGTTGATGGGTTGAAGTGGTGATTGAAGTTGTGAATGAAGCTGTTGGTGATGAGAGAACGAATTGAAGGACAAACCAGGCATTTATACATTCTCATCCGTCAACTCAGTTTCAAAATACATTCTTACTTTCTTGGCACTCTCATTGCATGTCACTTCCCGACGATCCCCTTGGTCAGCCGAAGCCTCACCTTAATGTCCATTAATCCTTGCTTGCTTCACCCAGCCACGGCAGTCGTAATGCCTGGAGATTTGCCAAGCATAAAATCTGCCCACCAATTGATCGTCTGCACGACTCAGAAGCTTGGTCATAACTGGCTTCACGATAACTCTCGTCTCCGCTTCTACAGTCTTGGCGGAGCGTCATGGTTAAAGCGTTGGGCAGCCATTCTCCACTGCCAAATTTCTTGCTTGACTCCAAGTCTGGGGAACTTATTGTGCCAATACTCTCGGCGAGCTTGTATTGACCTCGTTGCAGTTTGCAGATTAATTACAGGATATAAGGTCCGTACTAGAAGCATTTGGCTAATTATACTTATATTTCTCCGGCGTGCAATATAAGCTTAAACTTTTCGCCGTGCGTCATAAGTGACATACAACCAGGGTCGGCAGTTAACAAAGAAATTTGAGAAAGAAAAAGATCAACAGAAGCACGATGATCAGTGGCTTTTCCCCCCAGGCCACGCAATACCCCCTCCACTACCCCAGCTCCCGCAATTTATGCTTGATTCTGCTGTCGCGTGAGGTCTTTCCTCTCTGAGAAGCACATTGATCGTTTGTGATTCGTCTACGAGGTTTTACACCCGTGGATTCACATTGGTTGAAGGTATTAGAAGCGTGGACTCAGCTGCCAAGACGATATCACAGCCTCGTTAGCCACGCGTTTCCATTCTATCTTTAATAGAAAGTTTGTCTTGGCGATTGATTAGTTTGAGCCCTATCGTGTTTGAGCCTCGATCAACGTGGTGATCTCGGGGGGTTTCGTTTGGTTCTGAGAATACACTGACTGCGTAACTGGGGAACACAGACGTCTCGGCGGCGTTTTTGGGAAGGTCGTCGTGACGTGGCTCAGTACGTTGTGAAGACGACGCAGAGGAGTTTGTCACGTTAAAATGTGTATTGCCAAGACTGCTGGTTATGATGGTATGGCAGGCTGGGTACGCTCAGATCGCTGAAAGGCGTGGTGATGAGGCGCAAGACAGAGAAGGGAAATGTTGGGATGGAGGAGATCCTCAGGTTCTAGAAGATGGAGCCGGATCGGCTTCTTGTGATATCTTGATGATTATCACTGGGCATGAATCAGAATGTTGATCTATATCCGTTTATTCACTATCATATTGTCGTCAATTTGGCGGATCGCACTTCTTTCCGTCTCACTCCTCTGCCGAAAGACTTGCACTGATGTCTCATGTCAATGTTGACACAGGTAATTTGACACATCCACGAAGTGACAAATGCTCAACAAGGTGTTGTCTCTGAACAAGTATCTGAATGCTGGCTCACTGTGCATAACGTTAGCTTGCTAATACCACAATCTCATAGCAACTCACCTTTGTCAATCCCTCGTACACCAGCACGTCCATCCTCCAGCGTCGTCACATAGTATAAGAACCCCAGCTCAAGCAATAGTCTTATCCAACTCGGCCAACACAATGAGCGTATCCGATTCAAACCTCTCAACCGGAATCTTGGTCATCTCCCCCGTCCTAACATACCCCAGCTTCTCATACCACCTAATAAGTCCCTTTCTCGTATGCAACGCATTCAACCCAATCTTCCCGACACCAAAATCCTTTGTGAGATACTCCTCTCCATATGCAACGAGCTTTCTTCCCAGACCTCCACGCTGCAGTGTTGGGTCAACAGCTAGGAGACACAAACGGCCGTAATCGGGGGCCTTTCTCATAACGTTCACGCACCCGATTATAGGGCCGTCAGGGGTGTCGCTTGCGACGAGGAATTTACTATCCGGCGAGGTGATCCTATCAATAATGACGGATATGTCGATGTTGAATGTCCCTGCCAATTCGGGAGATCCGACCCAGTCAATGTGAGCGTCTGTGAAGCGGAATGCTGCTTCGATGAGTTCTTGAAGCCGAGGAGCATCGTCTTTGGTGGCAACGCGAAAGTGCAGGTCAGACATTGTTAGTGGTGATTTGTTGATCAGTGCTGAAATGATAGTGTCGATTTGATGTGAATCATTCAGTCGTATACGTGACTCTTTAAATACCTCATATGCCTATGGGTATCACTCAATTTGCTGTCATTAAATAGGAAGGTCCCTTAAGGGCGTCAGATTGACGCGAAGGAAGCGAAAAACATGTCATATCAAATGGTCTCGGTGCCGTTTAAGCGGTCTGTTGTAACCTCAACTGGCGGGTCATAAGGGCGAGCCTTTCAATGAACAGCCCTACAAGTGGAGGGCGCAGGCTGTGTTGAGATTCGGAGATAGGGGAGCAGACCAATGGGAGAATTTGTATAATTGCCTCAACTGCTGCCTTTGCGCCAATCGGTCTTTACCTCATTTCCATCCTTGTTTGTTAGAAGAAATGCTACACCGGTGATCAAATGGTCTTGATGTGGCCTGTAGTAAAGCTGCTTACCCGAGACCTGAATCATTGAGGTCAGCGAAAGGCACTTACCTCTAGCCCAAGAGTCATTCCCTGGCTGCTGTTTTCTCCATGGATATCACATGTATATGATTCTTTCCTTTCACGTCGCCCAATAGTATTGCACATTTGATCTAATACTAGAAACTCTATCATCGGATAGTGGTCGTTAACAGATCCTACCTATGTTAGACCCTCGCCAGGATAAGCTTCACAACTATATTAAGGAACCATTGATGTAATGAAATTAGTGATTAAAGAGATCTTAATTGACTCGTCTCGAAATATCCGTTTTCCTACTCTCTTTGAATGCTCACGTTGGGGCTCTTCGCGCGTCGGCTTTTCGGGCCCGTGGGAAATCCCGACTGCTTCACGATAAGACTTCACTGGAAACGCACTGTAGCGAAGGTGGACAATCCTCACCATTTGCTTCTCGCTTCAATACTGGTCAATCACAGTTGAGATCAATTGGACTTTCTGTTCATAATAAGTTGATGATATATATAAGGAAATTGCTTTGTCATTGCGAATAGTTGACCTCTACAAACAGAGGTGCATTGATTCAATTGCTTCCAATCCCCAGTTGGAACCATGGCCCGCTTCGACTGCTCAATTGGAACCCTCAAACACCAATGAGTCAGGCCCAATTACACAGCCCAAACTTCATGCAATTGAACCTGGATTCATCGCAATTGTCCTATCGCTGAATAGCAAAAACGGCGATCCCGAAAACCCATCTCACACCGTTCGGGTCCACGGGCCCATGGCCATAAGCGCCCGCTGCATGGAATGCTTTAGCGCAAGTGCCCCCAAAATCCAGGCACACTGTACGCCAACCTCGAGCAATATAAAACACCATCCCTCGTCCTCACTCTACTTCTCTTCTTCATCAACACCAACGGACTCTTCCACCGTCCGCTCCTCCTTCTTCCCTTTTAGCCTAATCGGCCTCTCTGCACACACAGGGGAGGCCAAGCCCCCTCTAACTTGAATCAATGGCAGTCGCAGCAGCAACAGCAGCAACGTGCGCCCGGCAATTCGTCATGTCATGGTAGTCTCATCAGTGCCCCGGCGCCAGATTCTGATTTTGGTCTCTTGTGCGACGTTTCTCCTTTCTTGGATCTCTTACCTCTTGATTTCGACTTCAACTCTCAAGGTGTTCACCAGGGAAATGATGCGACGTGGAATTTTGGTCAGAATATGGGAGAGGGATTGTTTGATCAGATTATGATCCCTGACATGAGCGCTCTGGATACGAATACTCAGCTCGATGTGGGAGATGGCTTCCTCGCTCAGGAGCAGTCTCTCATCACTGTCAACTCTTCACCACTCGAGCAACCTTCAACATCAAGCACTCCCCACCCTACCACCACCAACAAATCTCCCTCATCGACTATCCCAGGAACCTCCACCTTCTCCCTCCACCCATCCCCCTCTTCTTCATCAGGCTCCTCCCGGAAGCGCAAATCGTCACCGGAAGACGAAGAGTCAGCCGTTACCCTCAAACGCCAACGCAACACCCTCGCAGCTCGCAAGTATCGCCAAAAGCGACTCGATCGCATTTCAGAGCTTGAGGAGGCACTGGCTGCTATGACAAATGAAAGGGATAACATGAGACTTCAACTTGCGAGGAGGGAAGCTGAGGTGGATGCCTTAAGAGAAATGCTGGGAAAGAAGTGAGAAGGAAAGGAAAGGAAAGGAAAGGAAACAAAACACAGGATTCAACATGATTGTTTGGATTCGGGGCTTTGGAAAGACTCCTAGATATGTTACGTTTTAGCGAGGCGCATTTCTAATTATATTGGTTTTTTTTTGTTCAATCATTGAAGCATAATTGATGTGATGTGATACGATGTGTGTCTTGAGATGACAATGCTCTTTAGGCAGGTGAGGTCGTGATTGTCGCCGGACTTCATCTCCTCTCGACATATAGAGAACTGAGGATGAATCTCGTGTCAACTTGCACTCATCTTCATCACTTCGCACCACCACTTACAAGAATTGCTTTATTGTATCAAGTCGAGTCATCTCAAGACAATTTATACATATTCATTTAACGCTGCAAACTTCCGTAGCATCCGAAATCTCCACGTAGAGCTCAGAACTGATCAATATATATGACTTACTATATGACTTACTATGCCCTTACCATCCCTTCTGTGAGATGAGTAACAATGAATCACTCACAAGTTGCGATAGAAGCCCAGTGCATCACGAGCATGGAAACACTGTAAGGACCTCGAACAAACGAGCGGGAAGTGGGACAGAGCGGGGTCCTTTGTTTCGATAAGGGATGAGCCAGAATGAGTCATTTTGAAGATTTCCCTTTTCGGAAAGACAAGATTCTTGCACTAATCTGAAGCTTATCGGCGTAACAGCAAAAGCAGATTGGATAATTCTATGAAGTGATAGTCCACAGTATTGTAGTTTAACTCTGCCATGTGTTGTCTCAGCGAATTGGGCCAGAGAGCGTGGTGTGTTCCCGCCCCAACGTAGCGAGCCACAGACAACCCCTCACGATACGGTTTTCTCACTAGATATACAACACAAGATAAGAAACACTTCTACAACAGAAAACAGCCAAGGTGGCCGAGTGGTCTAAGGCGCTGCACTCAAGATCTGATTGGTTGGATCTTATCCTGTTCAACAGGAAGCATTGCAGTATCGAGAGATGCTTGGGTTCGAATCCCAACCTTGGCAAATATCTTTTGCCAATTGGTCCCTTTTTTGACGTGGAGACATGCTGGGAGCCTCACAGTTAACCCAATTGCTTACTGGGGGGTTGCGTGTAGAGACTGCGTTTACAAATCTTGAGTTGCAAGAGCTGGAACTCCTCTCTCACGGGCTACATATTGATGACACTTGGACGGGATTGCATACAGCTATACATATTATTGTTACCGCTCGTAAAACACCAATTGCAATGAAGTTGCTACAATCCCTGACGGGAGGGTCGATTCATGAACAAGTTGTTAATAACTCCCCTGTGTCCATCGGAGGCCTAATATGGCAATCACTGTGTTCGCTCAGTCAACGCCTCCTGCCATTATAAACAAACACAATCCTCAAGTCAAAGTTCTTCTACTTTCACCCACTTTCACCGCCCACGAGCTGAAATTATGCCCTGACTCTCGCCACTCCCGAAATCATGAGGCTCAATCTGATCTTTGACTATCACAAGATCACCATCCGGTATGGTGTAGTGGCTAACATTTCGCGCTCTCATAACCTGAGAGATCAGTTCCGCGGAGCCCAGGGTTCGATTCCCTGTACCGGAGAATGTTTAAATTTTTTGCTCATTTCTGTTTTTGTTCAGTGGAACATCCTGGGGCGGAATGACTGCGAGGCAGTAGGCCTTCTCAAGCTGGCTGGATACGCGGATGATGCGGTTCTTTGGTGACAATCGAGAAAATGAACACGTAGCAGCCGGGCGAGCCATGTAAAACAATCCCGGAAAGCCGTATCCTGAAAGATGGAGGCCGAGGAAATACTTACCAGCTCTACGTCCCATGTATCTGATCACCCATCTTCCTGTGCTTAAAGTCCAATGACGAGATCTCCTCGGTTGTGTCTCTCTCGAGATTGACAGACCTTGACAAGAGTCTCCAGTTACAGAGCCGACCTTTCTCGCCCGTCTTCTCTCCCTATCCAACCAGTTCGCCGCACTCACGGATATCCCATCGACATCCGTCTTTTCCGAACCCAAAACTACACTGATGACCAACCGACATCATGTTCTCATTTACGATATCTCTCTCCTCGACACCTTCTCGTGACCCTTGATGTGGATTCAACCGTATCAAAAGTCCTTCGAATGCCTTGGCACATCCATCAATACCTGACTCGACAAGAATATTACCCAAAGCTTCCTCTTTCTAGCCGAGTGTTACTCGAGACCTACCTGCATTCTCCATTTGCGTCTGTTTGTCTCACGTTGCCGGAGGAGACAAGTTCACGACCATGATAGACCAAAAAGGGAGAACAGACCGCCTTCGTTCTTCGACGAATACGCTAGAATAAAACGCCACAATCTGTCACCTCGCTCACCTCCGTGTTTTGACGGTTCGACAACATCACTGGATGGTTGGCACACTTACACCCCTTCTCCAAACTGATCAACAGCACCAGCCACAAGTTCCTTCACTGCAACATCAACATTCCCCAATCTTCGCCACGACGTCTCCTCCGCAGTGGAGAGAACGCGGCTCGTCACGCGTCCGGCCGGAGGGTCTTTGACCTCACCTCACCTCACCGGCCCGTCCCATTCGTCGGTGCTGATACGAGGCCGGGCTTAAGACATGCGCCAGGCAAGAAGGTCATCCGAAGAGGAGCAAGGTATGCCATTGGGTTTTGTCATGAGAGTGTCAGCAAACGAGGATCTGGGCGCTGTGCTAGTCGTGGAGCGCATGACTGGTGTTATCATAGACCTTGGAAGAGCCCGTCAGGCGCTCTAGAACGTCGGAGTTGATGATAGAAGAGTGCTTTGTCGTGACTCCATAAGCATGGTGTCATGTCATGCTTTGAAGGCCAGTGTGGTGTTCACGAGTAACATTGGATGATAGGGTGAAGCATGGTTGTAGCGATCCGGTTCCTTCGGGTCTACTGTAACCATCAACGTAAACAGGAAGTTGTGTTGTAAATGATGATTTCTTGCAGGACCTAGACGTAGTGGCCGTTGCGGTCGTCCTCAGGGTCTCTGCAGCAGGGGATACAGACAGGACCCTTGACGCAGGCGGGGGAATGTCACAACGCCGGTGACTTTTGACCGGACTGTGTACTCCTATTGCCAAGTGTAGCAGGATTCAAAACAATTCAGGCTTGGCGACACAGGCGCAACGCGTCCAAGGGGGCGATAAACACCAAAGAGTCGTGATCATGGTGGGGGAGGAAGACTGATGACGCCGCCGGGACTGAGTCGGATGATGTGGGGCAGGGATCATGAGGCTTCTCAAGATGCAACTATGTTGCCCATGTCAAGGAAGAGTCGATCTCATCGAATCTGAGGGTGTAGTGACCAGGAATCTCTTGGTCTGAGTGGGAGTGGTTGGGCGATCGAGAAATCGAGTGCACGGGGACGGGTGGTGTACATTGAGTGGGTGTCATTCTGCTTAGCGCAACACTTGCCGAGCGCTTATTCCGGATCATGGATGAAAGGCTGTAAGAGTGGCGTCTCGTGGTGTTGTTGTTTGGCGGTGACTCGAGGAGAGACAAAGCCAGACATGCAAGGTGAACCCAGCTTTGCGGAGAGAGGGGGCGGGAACAAGCAACGTACATTAATTAGAACATTCGACAGGGCCGCCACTTATGCGATGTGAAAGGCTGAAGGTGCCAAATCTGGGGACGCCAGCCAAGCCACCAGACAATCAATATTCTTTAGATGCAACAGTCAATACATTTGTCCAAGGCTGTCGTATATTTTAGACTTGACCAACTACACAGAGGCTTTGAGTCTGAAGATCACAGAAGAGGCAAATTTCCATATCATGACCCCGGTCTGAGACGCCAGTCCCTCTCGGCAGTTGTTAGCCACGAGAAACGAACATACGGGGTGTTTCGCGAAACCAAAGGCATCGAAAGGAAGAAAGATGGGTGTAGGGGGAATGCGAGAGGAACGAATCAAGAAAGGCGTCGTGATGAGGATGTGGTGGTGGTGTTGATGATCACCCGCCTGAGACAACCAAGGCTGATGGCTTGACCAAGGACATCTCGCCCGGTCGTGGCGCAGCAGAGAGTAGTCTCAAAAGTTGGAGAAGGTTGCTCTCCTTTTTCTGATCGATAATCGGGTACAGGTTCCTTGATTATAGAGGTCTAGAAACTGATCCCGAGACAGGTGAAGCTCAAGCTTACTGGTTGAGATCTGCAAGGCCGAAACTCAAAGACTCCAATACAAGGCAGTTCCCATGCACAATCACCTGCGAACGCCTGCAAAACATAAACATCCAGAGACGAATCAGCTAGATTCAGCACTGTACAATCAGAGCTGAAGAGGCAAGGATGTGTGATGCGACGAGACAGTCAATTGGTCTGAGTGAATGCGGCTGTCACTGAAGAGTATGTACCTTGGGCAGACATAGACAGCCATCCTGACCTGCGGAAGCTACCCGTACGATGCATCTGCAGACTAGTGATAGCTACCAAGACTTACAGCAGGAAAAGTGCCATAGTTGCCGGATAGGATGCGCGGAGACAGCGGCATCGCGGGATATTTGAACGGAGTGGAGATGGACAAGGCTCGGGATGGAACGAAACGAGCCGGAGGATGAGAAGACAGAAAGAAAAAGAAAAAAAAAGGTGCGGCTGCATCAGGGAGGTGTGGGTAGACCGGAGATAGCATACGCGGTGAGTCGGTAATGAGAGGTCATGTGGGAAAAGTGGTGATGATAAACAACGACACTCCAAGCCTCGCTAGATCCGGCTTCGCCCGCGCGATGACGGTAAGTGTATCATTCTTTTAAAATAGCCTGAATAGCTCTGAGACAAGCATAGAACAGAGCATCTCGGTTATGCGCGTTGTATCGTAACAAATGTCAGGCCTCATCGTGAATGTCTGATGATTGATATAAATGGAGTTTTGAAGTTGAGGTGCCTACAAACCAAGGCTGCATGGCTATTTCTGGATCAGAGACCCACCGACTCGACGCTCGGACCGTCATCTACCCCCCCCCTTACAAGACATCCGCTGTAAGTGCACTGGCCTGGGCGTTTGTCAGGGGATCAAAGCCGCTGGAAGCAGTTGATTGAGTTCCACTAGAACAGCGCCCCAACCACGTCTTCCCGATATGTCGTGGGATGGGCTGGACACTGCAGGAAATACATACATGCAGATGTGATTGTGTAACTCGATAATATCCAACTTGACATCCTTTTGCATTTGGTCCTACCCCAGTGATGAAGTTATCACATCCCACGCAACAGGGGTTGTGCATGGAGAGTGGCGTCAATGACTTACAAACAATGCATTGGGGTAGCACCAATGGCCCAGAGGAGAAGGGAATGAATGCAATGATTCCACAAATCGAAGGTAGGCGTCTTAACACGGAGATATATAACATGTTCCTGTGATACGAATCTACTGCTGTGCGAGGTTGATGTCACACAACAAGTCATTTCCCCAAATGCACC